AAAACCCTGCCCTTGCACTACTCATCCTTCAATTATAAGACCAGGGATGGAGGACAGCTCAGGGGATCAAAAATCTAAGTTCACAGCAAAATCTTGCTACTCTCCATTTCTCCAGCAATGTCACATGAGAATTGAGTTTACTTGCAGTGTGTGATGAATTGAACTCAGAGGCATAAGAGCTGCCCCAAGAAAAAGCAACCCTTAGAACAGGGAGGGGCTCAGAAGTGAGATTCTCAGATGATAATGGCTCCGAGAACACAAAGTCAAAGGTAGTGCACTGATGAAAGGTGCAAGCTGTATTCATGTGTAAGTGTATCAGGAAGGGCCAATTCCAGTGCATAACAGATTTTTTCCTCATAAAACAGTCATGTTCTGCCAGCAGCAGGGATGCAAGAATTGCAATTTTCATCACAATAAATTGCCCCATATTCCTGTATCTTCCAGTGCATTTAGGAGCGAGTTTTCTCACTGAAAAGTTAGATGCTGAGTGGCAGGTGAAAAACAGGATTACTGAAAGCTTCAATTAGCCCTCTCACCTCTAGGGACTTGCCTGTCCACACCTGGTAAGCTCCTCACTAGACTGGACTGACTGATGATTTGCCTTAAGTTTTGCTGAACTAAAACAGACTCCTTGATTTGATTCAATGAACCTTCCTCTTCTTCAGCCCTTCAGCAATGGTATCAGTGTGGGAAGGCCAGATATCTATAGTATCATGGACTGTCTACAGAAGGGTTTCTTTTGACTTCTTATGTTTGTGGCCCCCTTCCAATGTATGCACTTCAGAATGCTTCAGTCCTGATGCCACCAATAGGTCTAGAATGAGTCAACATCTGCCAAGTGTATCACAGTACTGATCAACAGCATACAATGTAGAGATGGTGCAGATGTCACAGTTCCTCAGAGGAGGAAACTGCTTCTACTTCACTGAACAGGATAGTGATGAATATTTATTACATCTTTAAATGGGTCAAATTAACTTATAGCAAAGTTTTAATTTCATAATCAAGGTAGTCTCAGCCCAGGTTCAAGGTTGCTCCTTTACCTGGAGATACCTGTATCCCCTTTATTTTCTCTGAATCACTGATCAGAACTGTGATACTCCATTTTTGGCACCAGTACATGGAGATCAGCCTGGGAAGTATTTAGTCTGCCCAAGTCACTTACTCCACTTCATTCAGCAAATGAAGGCATCGCTGGTATTGAGTAATTTCAGGAAAATGTCTGATCAGCATCACTTACTCTCAGTCAAGGGGATAGAAATGACGACACCGTTCCCTGTCCCTACCCAGAGGCGGTTGCCAGCAATGAGCAGGGCTGTGATCCGCACAAACGAGAAGCCCAGCTTTCCAGTGCCTGTGGATTGGGAGTGTGAAATAGTGGTATTAGGATGGTATTACCTGGATTAGTGTCCTAAAAACACTAATTCTCCCTAATCAACAGTAGTCAGTATAATAGACCATTTACCAAAAAATGCTGCCTTCTCACCTAGCATCTTGCTGACGTAAGGTTCAATGTCCACATCCTGAAGGTGTTGATGGGTATGGGCATGGTACAGTCTCAGTGTGGAGTCTAGGCGGATGGAAACCCACACCCCATCTCCAATCCATGCCAGTTGCCGGACTTGGCTCTCCCGGCGTGGGTGGGCATCAAAGGACTTCTGAAATATCAATTGTGTGGAACGTCATGAATTCATTGCAGGTTTGCAGTGACCTAGACAGATGCTCCCTCATCCTGGGTTGGGAGCACTTTGCTTTCAAAGCTCCTAGATCAGAGGCGCAAACTCTGGAGAGACTACCTAGTACATGTGGATTCCCAGCCTCCTTCCTAGTCACAAAGGAAGTGCCAGATACAGATGTGACCTAAGTACTCAAGCTCCAAAGAGTAAGAGATAATGAGTGCTACTCTGTCAGATCTCCAGTAACATGGTTTCTCCTGACAGTTCTTGTCCTACCACCATGGAGTCAACAATAAGGATACAAAGATTGTGTTTCCCTCCCTCTACTGCAGAAAGCAGATAGAAGAACTGATAAAGCCTGGGCTAATCTCTACTGTTACCATCTCTTTCACACACAAATGCACATGCTCCTCACCTCAATCTGCATCGTCTTGGGCTGGATGACATGGACTTTGTTCTTATAGCCGCACCAGACTCTATCGTACACAACAGCCATACAGCGGATAGAATGGTGCGTATGACCCAGGTCCATCAGGTGATAGTTGCTGAGATCCCATTGACCATCTAGAGAAAAACAAAGGCATCAGTGATCTGCATGCACAGCAGAATCACTTCCCTTCCTATTGGTTTCTGGATGATCCTCCAACTTCAAATGAACTGTTCCAGTATATGAAAGTTCCAGTCAGGTGTAGAACCAAGATCTCCTCTATTCTAGTCCTAATAGTCCAGCTAAGTGTGTAATCAAAATACTCTGCAAACATATTACCTCTACATCAGGGAGCATTATTACATCTAGGATGTGGACATTTTGGTTGTTAAATAATCATATTCAACCCAAAGCTCACCCTAGCAGAAGTTAAAAAAATTGAGTCTATACAAGCAGCACTCTCTCCACTTCAGTCTGTTGCAGGGACTTTGTCACTCTGATTACCACCAGAGAGTACAGTGAAAAGTTCTAGCTCTAAAACCTTGACTCACTCATGGAAACCAGCTACAAGATCCCCAGTGTGAGCTGCAGTGTAACAAGAAAATCTAGAAGGAAGCAAGAACTGCCCTTATGAGCATAAGGGCACTATTTTGGTAGTAGCTGTGCATTTTAAGAAAGTATTCACATTCTAGCAATTTGGTACCCTTTCTTCTTAAGCCCAGAAGTGATATGCTTAATCTGTGTGCACAGACTTTGCTTCTGCTCTGGAGTTGACTAGTTCATTCCTGACTGCTTTGAGTTTTACCTTCTCCTCGGTGGAATATGGCTAGTGTTCCATCAGCCAGAGCAACGAGAACCCGTCCTTTCACATGCCTGAAACCAGTGAGAAGACAGCATATTTGAAAGTCTAGCAGGAATAACTAATTCCTAGGCCTTCCTGGAGCTTCTACCAAGCTGGGATGCAGTCATGATCTATTATGTCAGGGGTAAGAGACTCTCTTCCTCTCTTGGTTCCTCTTATCTTCTACAAACATTTCTTGCTGCATCCAGCACTTGCCACTGCCATTCTGCATGTATCTGAGGGTCACATATCTATTTACTTTTTCGGTGGCAGCACTGGATTTCAACTAGCACAGAGTTTAGCAGTT